AAATTCTGTTCTATAGTCTTTAGCACGTCTAAACTTTCCGAGTGTTTCTCTGAATGTGGTTCCAGATATAATAGAGCAGTCGGTAATCCCATATAGCTACTAAATGTACGCATTGCGCGACTACCCTTTCCAATGCCACGAGCCGCGATCACCGGCTTACGATTCACATCTTTTTTGACGCAGGAAAAATGTCAGTCACGGAGTTACATTTTTGATTCCACTCTGGGCTGACTGTAATATGAGCCCAGGTCATTTTCATTTAGATATCTTTTAACGGTGTCGGACATTTGTCGGCGGCCAGTTTTTTTTTTTTTCATCTTAGAACTCCTTCCCATGATATATTAGGTTATTAAAACACCGAGAAAAGCTTGAATACGATAGCGTAATGTTTATCTGTGCTTCGATCGCGTAACGGACACTTCTTATAGATTACACAAGATATAATAAAGCTGGATGGTCAACAAATCAGTATGCAAATTAAATCCTCTGTCTTCAACATGATATGTAAATGCAGGAAGGACATGTTCACCTACAACTAAGTTTCCGGGAATAAATTGAAATTACTCAACAAATGCATCGCGCACTGTAAATTCGGACCAAAGATAAAGAAAGTACACAATATAAGGTTGCATAATCCGGGATTTTTAGAAAAAAGTTTTTTTCTCTAGTTTTTCCCCTCTCGCTAACTTAAGTATATAATAATTTAAAGAAAGCATTCTGTACCTCCAGTGGCTTTAGCAATTCTTTTCAGATCTTGTTTTTTGCATCGTCTGACACCCATGGCACCGGCTTCCACAAAGTACTTGAGACATAGATCATCAATGCCGCCTGTTGTCAAGATAACATTGGCGCCGGCAGATAAAATCTTCTGAATTCTCTCTTTAGTAATATCAGACTCTCTGGAAATTCAAACATTAATATTAGTTACTGATGTCTAATAATGCACATTATTATACATCTGTCACCGTAATGTCATAAGTTACAACGTGCCGTAATTTTGCGGTATTTTACGAGGTATTTTCATCCTACCACACTAGGAAATGCATCGCATATTAGGAAATCGCATACTCTTGTTGTACTGTCTTTGTGCATACTTTGAGGTACAGTACAGTTCTCGCGGAAGCTTTGGCTTTTGTGGCATCATTGTCGCCTACGCATGGCTTCATTGTCGCCTCAGCATCGCATCATTGTGGCATCAGCTTCGCGTCATTGAAAATTGAAGCTGTGTTCGCCTCGCTATTTTGTGGCATCATCGTGGCCTCAGCTTCGCAGTCTCATGGCATCAACATGGCATCAGCTTCAACTTATTGTGACATGAGTATGACCTCATTATTTGCACGCAGAAGGGCAGTAGACAAAAACATGTACAGAAGTTCGATATGTAATCGATTTGAAATTCAAGGCGAATAAAATAATATGATCAAGAGTAAAATGACATTTTAAAAAGATATCTTGTTTAATTATTTTAGTGTTGCGAGTATTGGGCACCAACAACTTTGCGA